AGAATAAATGCCAAATATCAATTTTCAGGAGATGGTGAGTAATAAACTTTGTCCTCTTGCGACGCCCACCCGAGTATGAAGATGGCAATTTGTCCAATGAAGTGGTGAGGTGACTCACTTCTAATATTTACGACCCAGGTATAGCCACATCGAAAACAGTGCACTGTGGCACACCCAAAAAGCAAAAAGAAAGCATATTGCCCTCACAAAACTGACTTTTTGGTAACTAACTTCATCCGTGAAAGTAATCCGAAATATGAGTAAATTTTGAGAAACTTAGTACTGTGAAATACAACCCACTTGTTGATGTAATTAATCGTGTGCAAACGATCCGAGTGCATGTCAAGAACAGCATTCAGTACATCGGCAGTTCTCGGTGCTTGTTGTGTACTAGAACCATCGTTGTTCGACGAACTCGAGTCTCTCATCTGAAAATTTTTCACATAAATGTCCATCACCATTTTTCAGATCGTAACCTGTTTTTCACTTACTTGAAGTAGTAACTTTGATATGTCGGCAGTTTTCAGATTCTCATTCACGACTCCATCAGCATCCGTTTGCAGAATGCTGATATTCGAAAAGATTCCTGGGGATTCCGAGAGGGATGAAGGCAGTTTTAGCAATGAGAAAGCTGAGAGATCTAAATTTTGAATAGTGAATATTATTGTTCCAAACATGGTAGGCACATTATCCGCTGGAACTCCTCGCTTACCGTTAGTACTCGACAGCGACATCGTCGCCGGAACGAGACCATTTGCCTCAAGAGCACCCGTGGTTAGCTTCCTGTTCGCTTCTCGGAATTTGGCTTCAAAAGGATTCACCGACATACATTTCTGCATCAGCTCGGCAGTCAACGGAAAATCTGAAATCAACTTTACTCAGAAATGTTTTCAAAATTCGCTCTTAAGCAAACACCGTTACAGATCCGAGGCAACTGAGAACGCACATTGATTTAAGGTGGTACCCTTTCTAGATACTTTTCAAAAAACGAGAAGAGCGTCGGGTGCAGACCATACACCACAAGTGACGACGGCCTCCAAGTAAATCTGGTTAGAGTGGTTCATAGTGATTTTTGGTAAATGATAGTTGTAATTAGTGACAATTAGAACAACTGCAACAGGCTAATCATTTCATTGGCAGAAAACATTTACATTTTGTGGAGGCCGTCGTCACTTGTGGTGTATGGTCTGCACCCGACGCTCTTCTCGTTTTTTGAAAGGAGTATATACAACCGATTGAGGCCAACTACGAGCTGTCGCAGGTAGAATACCAATGATGTGATTCGCTGTACATGTAATCATTTAACTGCGCATTCTAACGTCTGGTAACGATTTTTCAATTGGGCAACGAACATTATCGGGAGCTTGACGATTTCGGAAATTTCAAGGGAAAATCCCAAAAAAATTTACAAATCACCTTCAAATTCATGAATTCCTGAAATACTATGTCACAACTTTCGTACGCATTTTCGCATAAAAAAGCGCCGCGCAGCGCACATGCCGAACCCACAAAGAAATGCCATCGTCGCCAGCTCGTCACATAACTCAGCTGCCACAGCCACTAGTTGCATTTGTATTGAAAGCAGTGATTACGGTAGGTTCTAGAAGGGTTTAGAGGAGACGTAATGGTACGCCAGTGGCGAAAAAAGCAGAGAAATCCGTCAAGAAACGCAAAACGGGACCCCTTTTTTGGCCGTTGTTTTCACTCATGAACAGGTAACAGCTCAGAAAGCGGACGTATGAACGAGTTCACCGCAACGCGTTTGGTGGCACCATGCCAAACCATGCTCCAGTTGTGCCGCTGCTGGCAACGCAGCTCGTCCAAATCACCAACTAGTGGGCGGATCGCTTTTGGGGCGGAGTGCTTTCGAAGTCCTGCTCAGCAACCAGCGCACCTTTCGTCGTGAAAGCGCCACACCTCGCTTCCTTGGCAGCCAAGTAACTGCTTCGTGTGGTGCATATGCTTCCCCGATGCGCTCCCTCTTTATCGTAATCGCTTCCTTTAAAGATGTTAGG